TATGAAAGTGTTAAATGTCACCCCAGTTTCCCCTACTTATTTGGCGTGCACGAGGCTGTGCGGTTACAAATACATACCCTTTAGAGGCAAGCCGTGTTTTGGACTTTCCTTAATTGAATTAATCCGTTAACACTCGAGCTGTAATGATTAACGTAATTGGTGTAAGCGAGGCATACTTCTTTGTGCAGTTACGTTTACAGTACATTTTAAGTGTTAACCTTGAGAATCTTAAACTTTAGTTTCAAATTAATTATTAAGTTTTTTATTTAGCATTATGCACTTGTGAAAAAAAATATATTCCATTAGTTCGTAAAACCTCATCCGCGCCGTCTTCAAGAAGTTGCAATCTCCGACTTGCCGAGTTCGACGTCCGGTTGTCAATTTAGAAAAATGAAGTTTTCTATATTGTCTCGTGTCTACGAGTTGTTGTTGACTTCGTTTTTTTTTAATTTTCGTATAATTTGAGATTGTCTTAAATATAAGACAATCTCATCATACTTAATTGTTTTCAATTGTTCGAGAAGATATTCGATATGCATGCGGGGACTCCCCGATGGCGGGATAAGGAGTGTGAAAAGTATAGTTTTGTATATTTATTATACTGTCAGCGAATGTTCTCTTGATATAATAATGATTTTACATTACAAAGAGCCGTATGCACGTCCTACTCACCAATATGATGCGCCTTACGTAAGACATCCCAAAAGACTGATTTTGCATACTGTCTAACTAGATAAATAAAGACATGAAAATCAGAAGTTGTAACGTCGCATAGTCTTTATGTTATAATATTTTTTTTATTATTAGTCATAAGACTCAACTATGAATTAATATCCCGGGTTCTTATAGGTATAAAATATGTTAATAGAGTCCATATTAGCATAGATTTTATCTAGATGAAAGTAAAGTGCAATGACTAGGCAGGATACTAAGGGGCACACTTGTAATCTCATTAGTTCAGCATCAACGAGCTGTCAAGCCGGTGTTCCTAGGGCATTAAATATTCCGTTAAAGTAGTGTTAGACGTCATCTAATTATGCGCTTAAAGGCGGATACGGAGCTACTCTATAACTTTGTAAATTCCTTTTTCAATGCTTTTAAAACATAATTATTTTTATCACAGGTATATTATATATTATCTTAATTCTCACCTCTGGCAAAAAAATAATTAGATAGTTTCAATATATTGAAAGTATCTGAACGTATTTTTATTTAATGATCATTTTTTATTTAAAATAGGCTCACTCTTGGCCTCAATTAACCCAAGTACATAAATGAGATCTACGGTGGGACGATCTTGCCCAGATGGAAATTATTCACTCTTATCTTAAATAGGTCTGAATAGGTCTCAGTAATAGCCTCAATAACTGGTGAATAAATATTTCACATCAATACTCTTTCTTTTCTAATCACAGTATTGACATTATTTTATTGTGATTAATTATTTAAAGGAATATTTTAAAAGACAATTTTGCAAAAAAATCTATAACTTTCACTAGTTATAAAACTCTACGTCTTAATGGAAATGACCATTAGAGTGAGTCGTTATAAAGAATATCGGCTTTATTTTGTGTCGCCGTCCCTTCGAGACCCCTAGCGTGATGAAAAACAAAAGATGCTATTACGGTCCATTCAGTATTGATAAACATTTGAGGTTTGTGTCTTGAGGGAACGGACCTGTAATTTAATCTTGTGTTTATTACCAATGTATTTAATATTATAAGTAGGTAGTAATAATAATTATTATTATAAAGTAATTATTATTAATTGTTTCTATTTTTCCTTCAATGCGGGTCATCTAATATGCCAAGAGATAGTAATGAAATTGATACACTAAAACTTATTATGTAAATTAAAACTTAATTTCATTTCATTTCAAAAACTTAATTTCATGAGCGAAGTATATCGTAAGCGATGTGGTGTCGTTTTAAATTCAATATTGCAGACGACGATATTGTGATTTATCATTTCCAAAGCAATCTCTTTGACATGACTAACAAATAAAGGATTTTTTTTGAGTAAATCTACGCAATGATATTTTCATTGTGTTATATTCAAATAGATAGATGCAAATGAATAACATTTTCTGTGATTGTAGTGCTTCTACTTTAATATATTTATCCAAATTGAACCTTCTAACTCGAGAAACGGTTTGTCTACACGAAATGTCACTTTTCTCGGGTCGATAGTAAGATATCGTATATACGCACCCGAGAAAAGTGACATTTTGTATAAAAAACGCGCAATGCATTTCAGTCATAGCCATTCAAAAACAGCTGTTAAATACTGCTATGTTTTTGAAACATGATAAAAATATAATACTGTGCAAATGTACATTGATATATGTTATTCGATTTATTTACAAAAGCAACGCTATTAAAAGTATTTTTGCGAACACTCAAAAATTAAACGGTATCATATTAATATTAATAGCATTTCCAACGCACCTGTTACGAGTCGGAAATGACGCCCGGGTAATGATGGCTATCGTCAGCATCACGGTACGGTAATGACTGTGACATGTGACACCACGTTGGGCGCCAAGTGTGGACGTATAACTTTGATTACAAAAGATATCTGTCTGTCCGTCTGTCACAGATGATTGGATCCCAAACTACTACTTTAGACGGTTTGAGTTTAATTATAAATATCTAAGTATGTGACTCAATGGCGTTGGCAGAATAAAAATAAATAAATTTTATGCCTCATGACGGTAAATTAGAGAATAATCAAATTTTTCATGGATTTTAGTTGGAATTCCTCGCCCTAGGCGTAATAGATATAGTAAAATCTATCATAGGTTTAAATGGTTTTTATAATTTCATATCAATGTGATTTTGATATAATTAACCTAACTCTCCTTCACAAATATTGATTTAGTGTAGTCTCTTGGCAGTGAAACCCAAAATCGATTAAAGTCCAACAGCAATGAGGTCAACAAGGCATCCAATTAGAAACTGAAACTTTGTTTGTTGCTTGAGATGTACCCCCAACGCGCAGAAGGACTCGCCCCCAAAAAGGTGGGTGTAAATGGGGATGAACGGTGCGGGAAGTGGCCTTCGGGCATCGCCTCCACGGAGAGGGACATCGCTGAGTTTTGGTGGATATGCTCCTGCTAGCCTAGCCCTAGTCGGCTAGCCCTAGTCTATGATAGGACCGCAGGGGGCAGTCCTACATAACCCACTGACCCCGCGCTAGGGAGGAGCGGTGTGTAACAAATTTCTCAGTGTCAAAAAAGGTTCATCATAATTATAAATTCGCCCATTATCATACACTCAGACAAAATCTATATTACGCTACCGTAATATTTTGAATATAAATAATGAATACCCTAAATCATTGCGTTTGTTAGCAAATAAACTGGACCCGCACATAAATCAGTATGTTACTAACCGTTGTCATATGATATCGGCGACGCCATGGACATGAAACAAATTGGTTGTCACCGGGCGTCAACGAGCGACAATGTTATTACAGCAATTTTTAATACGAAACTAGAAGCTTTAGAGATAGAGAGCCTTTTGATACCACATTATGTATATTACAGACTTAGAGCACATAATGTCACTTCAATTTAGTTTGTAAAACAGTGGCTATCAGTTAAAGAGAGAGCGGTGGTCTTTCTTTAACTGATTTTCGAATGCAGTACGTTCCCAGAATAATTGGATTATCCTAGGTTAGACCTCGATATAAATTCAGGTTTCAGCCCTTGACTAATAAACTGTTTCTGTTAAAAGTTAAATAATCTGTTTTGAATTTGCCTGGTGGATCCAAAAAGAGACTGAAGTGGGGAATCCACCAGACGGACATACCCGCCGAACTCGCTGCTAACATACACAGTAAACAACCTAGCAACAAGACCGGCGGACAAGTCTGCAAACATGTCAGCGGGCATGTCCGTTTAGTGAATTCCTCGTTTAAGTCAGATTCACCAAATGTCAATGGATTGGATTTATTACATCGAACATTTCTCGAGTTATTCCACAAGTACGTCACCCAAACGATAAAGTGAGTAAGTAATACATAACGTCCATCGCACTCGTCTCGCGGCGTGCGTTGCTTTTTAATTAATACGTGTAGGTGGTGAGCTCGGTCAAATAAATCTTAGTTAATGTCCCTTTCGTCTGGCCAGTTGGGGTCGGGTGACCAAGCTGGTATTGAAACGTGGAAATGCGTAATTTCTTGCAGTCTGACAAGTTTACTGGACGAGAACACTCGTTATTCACTGGAGCTTTTAGTTATAACTTTAAGCTTATTAAAAAAATTGTGAAAAGTTGAAGCCACGAACTTTATCGAATTTGAATCAAGCGGGTGGTAATCGCGGATGGCCTCTTTTAGTTACACTTTACTTAAGTGGGCCTAAAGCTAAGAGAATTTCTCTGTCCATTTAAAAACATATAAAATAGATTTCATTATTTACTGGCAAGTTTTATACTGTCCTCGAAGTCAGTAAAAATATCTATGCGTGATTTAGTATCATAGTTCATTTCAATGTAAGGAATGTCTTATTTATTATTCAAAAGACTTATTTTTAAGACAAACCAATACAAACATCTAAATTTTAGTCACCCTACGTCGCTCATGTGCGTTATTGGTCGGCTTTAATACCCCTGGCGGATGGATATAATCGAGTCGAAGTCATCCACAAAAATATATTGAAACGTAATTAAAATTTCATTAAATTTAAACGCACCTAAATAATTTACTCTCAAGTTTCATCATTTTCTTAATCTAAACATGTTGGTTTCAGTTTTAAAAAAATCAGCGCTCATTACTTGCGTATGACAAGTTGTAACATAAGGTTTTTAATGTCTTGAGATTCCACATGAATTAATATTCGCATATAATTCAATAGAACCTACACGTCTATGTTAAAATATGAATCCACTCAACATTTTTCATGACATATCATCGTTGGATTTTTTAGGAAAGACATGTGTTTTAGTTTCCCTTAAAGAGAAAACAGATAGAATTGAATGTCTTTTTCTTTTTTTTTTCAGAAATGCGACCTTCCTCGAGCCACATCTGCAAGGCGTGAGGCGACGCGACAGTCGCAGTTCCGACTCTGAACATGACGAACGGTCCACGGAAGATGACGAGCGATCACTCATACGCAGGTATTTATTCGAAATTCAGTATCATTTGTAAACGTCAAAAGCTTTCTCGTCGATTCTTATAAATACGTACTCCGGGAGTTTTTAATCTGAGAGGCAATGGCAAGAAATTTTATAAAGGTTTTTTTTTTTTGTTTCGTTCATTATTACGTATTACAAAAGACCAAAATTTAGCAATAAATTTGAGCTTAAAGACCTAAAATCGATTGGAGAACACTGACCTTTTGTAGTCACCCTGACGTACTTTCGACTGCTTCTTGAAATCATGACAATGACATCAGAGAACAGCAAATTCCAATAAATATTTCTATTGATTGAGTTTTGTTTTCCTAAATAGGGAATGGATTTGGAAATCTCGCAGTAGCGGAATCTCAGAACGCAAGTTCATATATACAGTTCTGATGTTGAATAATTCAATATCTTAATATCGTAGTAATAAAATTTAAACAACCAAATAGGCTTTAAAAATTCTACAGTGCTTTGACGTAGGTGAAGCTAATAAACGTGGTGGAATATAGATGTATACATGAATTAATTAAAATTTTATTTGAAAAGTAAAGTCAATTTAAATTGATATCCAATAAAGTAGATGGTTTATTTGACAGCTCTCCTCGCACTCGGTTGCCACCACCGCCGCCCCCGCCACCAGACGACGAGCCTCCTCCATTGAAGGCGAGAGAGTTCTTCGAAAGACTGCAGAGCCAAGCCATGCGCGAGGCCACTGAGAGGCGGAGACCCCGGGATCTAATGAAGGAGCAGCTCTTCAGGCCCGCGGATGACGGCAGCCTCGGCGACAGTCTTAGCCAGGTAAGCTTAGAGAGTGAAATTATTTTTGCACACAACAGACTACCTTCCCACTATTAATCATTCCTAGACACATAAAGGCTTACAAGCTTATAACCCAATTAACCTACATTTTATCCCATTATCTTTTTGCCAGTACTCATTATTTTACATCAAAGTCAGCATCGGTAAAACTCTTCAAAATCCGTTCAAATGCCTATTAAAGCAACTCACGCCTAAACAAATAGTAGCATCGAAATAAAATTTTCCCCGGCCATTGAGCACGGTAACGTCGGAAAGTGAAAATTTTCGCAGAAATATCGGTCCCGTTTTGCCACCATTACCATTTGAATGCCACGAGCGCGCAATATTTCCCAATTCCCGCATGGATTAGATTTTCCGACCATGAATGGAGGCTTTCTAAGCGTCTGTGAGCGAATCGCAACGTATGTATGTACATTGTAAATATTTGTTGCTGATAGGAAACATTTCATGACGAACTTCTGCTAAATTGTTAAAAAACATTAAACAATGATTAATATAATATGGAATTTTATTACAGGAGCAAATGATTTTAAAAGCAAAATCAATTCTGCTATTCAAACATGATAAGGATATAAAAGCTCAACGTCCTTTAGTGAATTAAGCGCAGCCATAGGAGTCGTATTATTGTAAAATCGAATAGTTGCAAATGAATGCATTATTCCATTGAAAAAATAACTACAAAAATTCTAATTTTATGTATTGATTAATAAACAAAACAAATAGTGATCAAGGCATATAATAATAATTCATAATTAGGCATAAAAGCCAATTAGACTTTATATTTCTTTTTACATAAAAATAAACGATTTTTAAGAGTTACTTCAAATATTCTTCATCGATAACTAAATTGATAGATCGTAAAAGTTACTCACTTTATGTCGAAATCAAATTTATCGGTATCCATTCACGCTCCTCACGTATGAGACGCTTTTGAAACGTTATTTGTACGACGATACGAGTAGAGTGGCTTAAGGTCTCGAAAGCACTTAGCTAACACTTGAGCGTGTATTTGGTAGACTTGTTGTAACATTATCTTATATCGACGTGTATTGGTTAAGATTCGATTTTTGTTTATGATCTGTTATTATTCCTTGTTTGCGTTCTGGAGCTTCTTCAGTGAGGAATTTAATATTTACCTTCTAGAACTTATTACTCAGTCACACTCAAGACTTGGTCAATGTCGTTAACATTGGCCTGAGTGTTAAGCGATAGTAAAAAAACTAACGGTTTTCTAGTTAGATAGATAAGGTTCGGCGTCAAAAATAAAAGAGAAAATAGACCAAATCAACGCACCCAAAAATATGATCGTAGTAAAAGACGTAACAAACCTCATTAAACTTTATATGTAAATAGTTCCAAGACTACAGACTAGATGTCACTGCATACTTATAACTCGCGGTAACATTTGGTGTACTAGACTGTTTAAATACTATTGCTGATTATTAACATTCGTTTAGCAAGCCACTGAATCATCCGTATCAAGACTGGATGGGATTCGGGTCATACTGTTCCTGTACTGTATCATACGTTCAACCAATGTTTGGTCGGCTTTTAGACTAAGCCCTTTTATTCAAACTTAGTGCTATGTATAAGGTGAATTCCGGATATCCTACTCACTCACTTCAACCTCTGTAAATATTATCTTATCTGCATTAAAGCCTATTTCACCTATTTTCTCCTCACCGACGTCTTTGCGGTAAAATCTTGTACACAAATTATTACGATTTTTGTAAAAGTAAACATAGCATTTGATTTTTCAATGTGACGTTCATAAATTTTCTTCCAAACAGAATTTACCTAATTTCAAGAAAAAATGGAAAAAGAGTCTCTAAAAAGGAAATTTTTTAAATTCAATTTTTTACTATAACTTTTGGGAATATGATGTAGTTTTTCTTTACTTTTTTTTTGTATAAAACCAAATGAAAATTCAATATCCTTGTCACTCTATCTCTCTTATAAAATTTTCTTATTTCTTCTTTTTCTTATCTTTACTGTCCATAAATTACTCGACAAAAATATAATAAATGAAAACTGATTGGATACATAGATGTTTTACAAACAATATATAAATAAAACACGGGCTACAGATACGCCCCAAGTTTGCTCCGATGTTAAACTACACGTCTGAGATTCTATTTGACTTCAATAAAATTTCTATTTTCACCGACTTATTGCATTTCCGGTTCGAAGAATATTGCTTACCAATAGTATCGGTTGGAGTCTTGCTGCTGCGATTATTTGTGTTCTCAAGCAGTTAGTCTTTCTTGTTTACGGTTCCGTAATTTTTGAAATAAAATTTTACTCACTTAAATGCATTTTTGTCACATACATCATCCCTCAAAAGATTAAAAAGATAGTGAGAAGTTTGTATGGTGTGTAAGTTTGTTTGTATTTCTCGTCATTACTTTACATATCTATGATTCTGAGTATCATAAAATTCTTAAAACAATGTCTTAGCTAATGAAACGTTTATATACTATAAAATCATTTTGTATAATTAAGTATACACCTATGAGAAAAATAACGAATTTGTTTTTTATTCCACATGAAAAATTATCACATTGGATTATCACAAAATATCAAATTAGCATAATTGCTTTTGAAGTTAAATATCATGCTAAAGTTTACACATAGATTAAAAAATAATAGTTTTGTATGGTCTGATGTGCTGTTGATAGTAAAATGCTCTCAACACCATCTGTGTACCAACTTTAAAATGCAAGGGATCCAGTTTCGAGTAGTAACAAAGCATAAATTGGGTGTGAAGTAACACCTAGAGATGTCTGGGGTGTTTTAAGTATAGCACTACGAGTGCTGACATCTGACTTTTACGGCGTAAGGCTGTTTAGGGTAAGAAAAATATGTAGGGTGAAGAGCTCTATAGCTTGGTTATTAGTACATACGTTTTGCGTTTGCGGAAGTTAAGCAATTTTCACTAAGGCCACTCATCGGACGGGTGACCAAAAATTTTCTACTTATTAAGTCAGGTCATCCGCACTAGACTGTCCTATAGAGAAACACACAGGTGTTATTCTGCGTGGAGTAGGCTTATGCTCCTTATCTTTATTTTATCAAAGTAGAAGTCAGAAGTAGAAGTAGAAGTCAAGCCGCTCCGAAGGAGTATGGTAACTCATTATGAATTTTATATATTAGATTTACTCATATAAGCCCACATATATACATCAAAGCCAACGATAATTTTATAGTATACTAGCCATTGAAAGTATGTTTTATTAATTTAGTTAATATTTTATTTTAACAAAATACACACCCTATAAAATAACAGTCGAATTTGTAAGTACTATACAAACAGTTCGTTAATTACTTTCTGAATTGACTGGATTCAGCTTTAATAACTTTTACATTAAACTTGGAAGTTAACCAAGAGGGATGATCAAAGAGCTCATTCAATCTACCAAAATGAATTTGAGTATTCGGAGATGTAATATGAGGTGAAAAAGAGATAGAATGTAGGTAGATACAAAAGTATAAAATATATATGTCACCGTAAAATTCTAAGTTTCGTCACTTTATAATCTTACAAGAATTACTATATTACTATATTACTTGTTTTCTTTTTAATAATCAAACAATATCACATACATTGCTCAGATTAAAAAATCACTGCAGGTAAAAGTGCCCGTATTATGGACTATCTGAGACAACGAAGGTAATAGATCTGAGACGATATAAATCATTCCTTTTTCTACATTGACCCGACCGGGAATCTCACCCGGGACCTCAAAGATGGCGTACAAAACCGGCGTACAAACCACCCAGCTACGTAGTGAAATACCCAATAAAAACCTGAGCTAGTGTCATTGAAAGAACATATCCAGTTACAATGTTCTTTTTGAAGCTTCTATACTAACAATATGAAGAGGAAAAATCCTATTTATTGTTTGTTTGCATTACATAGATTTCGAAACTACTAAACTAATGTGAAAATTCTTTCACCTACGTGAAGCTTCATTATACGCAGTTGACATGCGTTATAATTTGTGAGGGCAAAGTTGCTGAAAAAAACAGCCAATAATTAAATATTAATAAGATAATATTTATAAATAAAAATCGGTCATAAACCTCAGGTACAGCAGATATATTATAGGTAGCAATGTTTTGAGACAAGTTTTGGAATATATTTATAGTGTTCTGGATTATAGTGTCCAAGTAAATAGTTTTGACTTAACTTTCAACAAAATTATTTGGATATTATTTGAAATTCAACCACGACGTTTCATCACACATCATTGATTCTTTAGAAGTCGCAGCAAAAATATTTTGTGATGTCATATTCAATATAGAAAATCTATTCATTTAAAGATCCATAAAAAAACAACAAAAATATATCTAATTACCAGTTGCTGTTAATTTCAAGAACATTGCTAACTAACGCGTAATTCTATTGTAAATTCAATAAGTAATGTTAGAGTTGTATGCAAATCACCTATCTTAACGAATTAGCTGTAACTTAGCTTTCCGCGTTAAAACAAACATTAAAATTGACCCTTCCGTTCGCAAGCGAAAGGGTTAAAGAGTAATATTCATTACGTAGCACTTACTGGATCGCTGGACCGCCGAATGACCCTCGCGTGGGACGAAACGACCACTTGCGGCTCCATATGTAAGTTATAGGGTTCCATAAACTGTTTCGGGGTTTTAAAAACAATTGATAGAATAATGTGTTGCCAGGCTTTTCCGTTGACAGCTTCAAATTCGACGTCAAGTTCAGTGCTGTCATGGTATGCAACTTCAATTAAATAAGACTTTTATGGTGTTTTCAAGCAGGTTTTATTTTATAAAGCCTCGATGCTCGAATTAGATGTTTTTAAACCAAAATTGCACTTATATATGTATATATAAAGCAGTGCAATTTTGGTATATATATAACCATAGTGTCATGTCATTAAGAATAATAACTAATATAAAATTCATTCATAAGGTATCGAAATAAAAGAATTTTATAGTACTATACTGAT